GGATTTAACGTCAAAACGCCTTTAACCCTGCCGGATAGGGTAAATGTGAACAATGTATCCAGTCTGGGCTGCTAAAATAAGCATGCAACTCCTCCCTTGCACTATTCCCCAACATGCAGCGGCGGAGGATTAGCCTACTTCCTAATATCAGCGAATGTGATTTATTTAAAAGGGGGAAATTTAAGCTCTTCGTCTACACAAAACGAACAGTGTCAGATGCAACAGACAGGCCCTCGGTTAGCTGTCCCGCTGTAGCTCACGCCAAATAGGGGAGATAGGATTTCATGGGCGTATGCTTCGGCAAGTATGGCTGACTGCAAGTACATGGAAAAACATAGGATATTTAGGCTGTGTAGTCACCGGGTGCGGACTGTAAAAACGATGGAAAGTTGTGTGGTATTTTAACGCCACGTTATTTTATCCATGCAACAATCGTGATTTGTGATCTTCGTGTTTTGTTTTCGGCTAAAGCGCATTTCACGTAAACTGTGGGTTTATGATATAAATATAAAGGCTTACATCCTCTGTTTGATTTGCTAAATGTATGATCGGCTGCTGTTTACAAAATATTAAAGGCTTCATCGGGTTTGGTCGGCCATATTTGTTGTAGGCTGTTATGACTGAAAATTGGGAGGGGGTGGACTTTCATTGTGTTTGATTTACATTTAGTGAAAACAGGCTCTGCTCCTTTTCACTATAGCACTTTTGTTTTATTTTTAAAGAAGGAAGCAAACATTGTCTGGCTTCCCTGCATCACTTATTGTTTTAACTGAGGAGATGCACATTGGTTTTTCTGTTTCCTTTAGGAGGGATATACACAAGGGATCTTACAGGGAGACGGACTTAAACTGCAAACATGTCTGGGGCTTCTGTGAAAGTCGCTGTTCGAGTTCGACCCTTCAACTCGAGGGAGATCAGCAAGGAGTCAAAATGTATCATTCAGATGCAAGGCAACACTACAAGTAAGTGGCCTACTGGCATGCATGCAAGACCACCAACACAAACTGGAGGGGGGAAAAAAGCATCTTGATTTTATGCAGGTCCAGTCTGCAGGAACACTTCGGTGGACCATGCATGCTCCTGCATGTTCTTCCTTCAGGCGTCTTAGCAGAGAACAGTAGAATGAGCAAACTGAATAGTGGACGGTTGGGGACGAGCAGCCTGAAAGAGAATAAAAGGCTTACAGAGTGAAATTCCTCCTCCTCTGGAGGGGTGTGCATGCCAGAGGAGATTCTGTGTGAGAAACGCTTAGTTGGTTCACGCTGGGAGACCCAGGGGTCGTCCCACAGCGTGGCCTGCCAGCACCCCCAGTTCAGCTAGGCTTTATCACACGGCCACTGTTTTTCTTTAATGGATGTGTGTGCTGCTTTATAGTTTATGGTTGCGTTATCTCTTGAGTGTACACAAACAATTTGTGAACAGGTTGTTGGATGCATATAAAACACGATTGGCAGTTAATTATTTACAAGATTTGCATCCCTATTTGAACCACAGT